CAAAAAAAACAAAACAAAACAAAACAAAACAAAAGACTAACATATAACTATAGCATCTCACTTAATTTACCTTTCTGAGCAGTGTCTCATGTTTTTGGCTTTAAATAAAAAGTGTAATTGAAGTATAATTGTTATACAATAAACTTTCCATATTTACAGATTATGATAAGATGATTTTTGACATCGGTATACTCCTGTGATTAACACAATCAAGATAATGAACATATATATCACCAACAAAGGTTTCTTTGTGCTCCTTTCTTGATCTTTTATCCTACATTTCCTTGTACCCCATCTCTCCACCAGAAAGCCTCTACCTGTTGTTTGTAATCATGGAATCATACTGTATGGATTCTTTTGGTGGTTTGGCTTTTTTCATTCAGCAATATTATTTTGAGAGTCATCTATGTTGTTTTATATACAGTAATTTATTCCTTTCGCTGCTGAATTATATTCCATTATATGGACATACTATAAATTGTTTATCAGTTTACCTGTTAATGGACACTTTGGTTATTGCTAGTTTTGGGCTAATATAAGTAAGGCTGCTGTGAACATTATGTACAAGTTTTTGTTTGGACATATACTGTTATATTTTTTGAGTATTTGCCTAGGGTATATGGATGGCTGGGTCTTACAGTAGATGTATAATTTCTAAAGAAAGCACTAAGGTTTTTCCAAAATAGTTGCATCATTTTACTTTTCTGCTATGAGTGTATGAGAATTCCAGTAGTTTAATATCCTTCTCAAGATTAATAGTGTGAGTTTTTAGATATTCTAACAGTTATGTAATGCTATGTTATTGAAATTTTAAAACCCACTCCTCTAGTGACCAGTGATATTAGCTATCTTTTTTTTTTTTTTTTTTCCAGTACCGGGAACTGAACACACGACCTTGCACTTGCCAGGCAGGCTCTGTGCCACTGCGCTAAATCCCCAGCTCCCAATATTAGCTATCTTTTATGTGCTGTTTACCATTAATGTGTCTGCTTTGCTAATACATGTGTTCAAATCTTTAGCATATTTGAACACTGAGACCAGCCTAGGCAACATAGCAAGGCCCTGTTTCAAAACAAACAAGTGAAACAATAACAACAACAACACAAATGACAAAGCCAAAACTTTGATCTACTTGAATTGGTTGTTTTCTTATTGAATTTTGAGAATCTTTATATATTCTTGATATGTCTTTTATCAGATTTGTGACTTGAAATAATTTATCCTAGTTTGTTGGTTATTTTTTCACACTCTCCTAATTCTGTCTTTCTCAGAGCAAAAGTTAATTTTGATGAAATTTAACTTATAAATTTGTTCTTTTGTTGATAATATATTTGGTCTTTTAGCCAAGAAGTCTTTGTTTAGGTTTGCAAAGCTTTTTTTTTTTTTTTTTGTCTATAGCTTATTCTAGAAGATTTATAGATCTGTCATCCACTTCAAGTTAGTTTTCGTATGTGGTATGGGGTATGAATAGAAGTACACTATTATCTAATTGTTTCATTACTGTTTGTTGAAAAGACTATATGCATTTTCCACTGAATAACTCTTGCACTTTTGTCTTGCACTTTTGAAACTTGAAATGAGAAAGTAGAGGTCTTTCAACTTTGTGCTTCTTTTTCAGAGCTATTTTGGCTATTTAGGTGTTGCCACTTCCGTATAAATTTTGGAAGCAAATGTCTACTTAAGTGCAAAAGTCTACTGGAATTTTGATGGGCATTGTATTAAATCTATAGATTATTCTGGGGAAAACTTACATCTTAGCAATACTGAATCCTACTGACCCAAGTACATATAATATCTGTCCATATGTTTAAGCCTTCTTTTACTTCTGTAAGTATTGTTTTGTGATTGTTCAGTGTAAAAATCTCACACATTTTGTCAGATTATCCCTTAAGTATTTCATATTTTTTGTGTTGTTACAAATGATACAATTTTCTATAATTTTAATTTTTGATTTTAGTGGTGAGTAGAGATGCAATTGATTCTTTATACTGATTTCATATCCTGGAAACTTGCTAAACTCATTTATTATTCTAATAACTTATTGATTGATTTTATAGAATTGTCAACAGAAATGATCATGTTGTCTTCTGATAAATATAATTTTATCTCTTCCTGTGTGTTCCTTTGAAGGGAGTCATTTTTCACAGTGAAGTGCGCTGTTGACTACAGGTTTTTTATAGGTGCTGTTTGAGGTTGGGCCAGTTCTCCTTTATCCCAAATATTATGAAAGATTTTATAATAAATGATGTTGGACTTTGTTATTTTCCTGCATCTCTTGAGAGCTTATGCTTTTCTTTTTTAAGTCTAATGTGGACATTAATTGTTTTTTAAAATATTAAGCCAATCTTCCATTCCTGTGAAACTTATTTAATTATGATGTATTATATTTTTATGTGTTGTTGAATTTGACTGGTTAAATTTTTATAAAAAATTCAGCAGAACTGCATCATGAATTTTATTTATGAGTGATACTTACTTGTGGTTTTCTTTCTTGAATTGTCTTTGTCTAGTTTCAGCATCAGAATAATGCTAATCTCATAGAATGAGTCAGGAATTATTTTCTGATTTCTAAAATTCTCCAGGAGATTTTGTAAAATTGATATTATTTTTTCTATAAGTGCTTGTAGAATTAATCAGCGAATGTATCTAGGTCTAGAGCTTTTTTGTGGGAAGGTTTTAAACCACAAATTCAGTTTAATAAATATCATAGTATTCTGAATATCTGGTTTTCTTGTGTCAACATTTGCAAATGTGAATCATTCAAGAAATTTGTCATTTTCATCTCGCTGTCAAATCCACCAGTGTAAAGTTGTTCATAACATTTCTGTACGGAATCTGTAGTGATACTATCTCTTCCATTTCCAATATTAGTTAATTGTGTCACCTTTAACTCTCTTTATTATTCTGGAAAGAGTTTTATTGTTTTTCTCAAAAATTCATCTTTTTCATTGTTCATTGTTCTTCTTTTTTTATTCTGCTTATTTAACTTCCAAATCTTGGAATTTCTATAGTTTACTGTGGTTTTGTTCAATCTCGGAGGATCAGGCTTGATTTTCTCTGTGAGTTTCATGTTGTATCATTTCTCTTTATGTCTTCAGGTTTGCTAATCTTTTCTCTGTAAATTCTAATGTACTGTTAACTCCTTCCCAATATTTTTCTTTTCAGAGATTGTAGTTTTTGATTTCTGTTTTTTTTCCGGCACTGGGAGTTGAACTCATGACCTTGCACTTGCCAGGCAGGCGCTGTGCCACTGAGCTAAATCCCCAGCCCCATGTAGTTATTGATTTCTAAAAGTTTGATTTAGGCCTTTTATATTTTCTACTTTTCTACTTAATATATCCAATTTTTCTTCCAGCTTCTTGAACATATGGAATATGATGATAATAATAACAAATAACCTCAGTCCATGTTATTTCCAGTCAGTTTCAATTGTTTGATTTATTTTCTGGTCACAGTTGGTCCAGCATGCTGATGCAATGCCCAAATCATATACTCGTTTGGATTTTGGCTCACCCTGCCCTGTGGGAAGCAATGATTTGGAGCCTGTCACCCACTTTGGGCCCAGCCATCCATGTGAGTAGGCATTCTCACCCAGTCTTCAAACTCTCGTCTTACTCCATTCTCTGTTTAGTCACTCTTTTCTGGATCCTGGTTTTCTGGTGAACAAGGCCGCATAGATTATATCAATCGGTGCAAAGTGACTTTTTCTTTCATATATTAACTCTATTTTTCATAAGTAAGGTGTATTATTTTCCCACATTATAAACATAATGCATACTCATTTATACAACTGAGGAATTTTGGATAAATATATGTGTTCCAATAAAATCTGACTACAACGCTAATATTAACAGTTTTGTACTTTTCTTTATTTTACATAATGATCTTACATGGCATATATACTAAATTCTTTAAATCTTATTTTCAATTTTTTTTGTGGCTTTTTGAGACAGAGTTTCACTGTGCAGTTCAGGCTGTCTTTGAACTCACTTTGTAGCCCAGATTGGCCTCGAACTCACAGGGGTACTCCTGCTTCAGCCTCCCGAGTGATGGGATTATAGGTGTGCACCACCATGGCTGGATCAATTATTTTCTTGTACTACTAAATGATCAATGTTATTTCATCATGGAAGCATGCCATCATTTACAGGAATATTCTTCTACAATAGGACAATTTCCATAACAGGGCAATTCAACAATAGGTTGTTTCCTTTTCTGCTATAAAAGATAGATTCCCAAAAATGGAATATCAGAAGTGAATATTTTGAAGCATTTAAAACATAATGCCAGATTGCTTTTTCAAACAGTTATACAATGTATACTTAAACTCAGTCAGCATTTGACATGACCTCCGATTTCAGGAGGTAAATCTTTCTACAGTTTGCCTCCTAAAATAACAGAGGAGATACTATTTAACAAATTTGATACTTACTTTGAACTAAACAGTTGAGAAAACTGTTAGGTAACTGTCTAGTTGTTGGAAGAAATTTTCTTCCACTTTCAAATCAATTTCTAAAAATTTATTTGCATTCATTTTATGACCATAACCAGTATATCTTTTTCCTTTAATTATAAATTCTACATTAGCATTGATTTAACCAATCACTCTGTGGAGTGAACATGTTATATCTTCCTTAATTTGGATAAGAGGTTCTTTTCCATGAATTCTTTTGGGATCTGTTCAAGCCTGACAGAAGCCCTTTATTATCCTACTTGTTTTATGTATTTAGAATTTCTATCTTGCTTACAACTAAACATGATTTAAAAGTATTTTTACATAATAGGACGAAAAACAGTAAGATAAAGAAAGAATAAAAAAGGAAGAAATGTTAATGGAAACGTAAGGTAATTATCACATCTGGCCATTGATTTTTTTAAGTGGGAGTTCTGTGGCTTTTTTCCCCCACACATTAATTTTTCTTGCCCTTGGGCTCTGCAGACAGCTTGCAAAAAAGGAGTGGGATGAGACAGCAACTTAGAGGCTAGGGAGGTTCTCGTACCTCGAAATCAACCTCAGAGGCCTTCTGGGATATATGCTGGGATCTCACTTTCTCACGGGAAAGGACTCAACTATCATATTCACATTCTCCCGGGAAACTCCTAGGAGGACACCCTTGTTTTAGAGGACAACGCTCCAGGATCTGGTGCGGTAGTCGGCGCAGTATTTCACAGACCGTTGGCTTCTGCGGTACGACGGACAATTTGTCTTTGACTTCACCAACGGTCCTGTGCGCAGGGGTGCAGCAGGAAGTGGAAGACCGCGGCCCTGCAGTTATGCTAAGAAGTCATTATTGCCAGACAGAGCAGAAGTACGGACTGCAGATAATGGGCCTCTCAGGCTGTCCAGAAATCATTACACGACTGAGGAAGAGGCAGCAACTGTTTTAAATCCCATTAGTGGGACTGATGGGCTGTCTGGGACAGGATGCCTATACCTGAACCAGCAGCTTAGAATTACTTCTTCTTCTTAACCCTCTAACGCCGGGAACTTGTATTTCCCACGCGCGGTTCCACTACTTTTCTAAGGAGGAGAAAATCATGTTAGGAGCCTCAGACGTTATCTCATTTAATGCTTACAAGCATCTTTTGAAGTGGACATTAACTCTTCTGTGCAGAAGAAGAGCCTGAGCTCTGGAGGAGGTCCCATACCTAAAAAATGACCGAACCAAATTTCGAACCCAGACTGATTCTAAAGCCCACATCCCTCTCATAGGTGCTTGGCTCCGTGGCGCTGTGTGCACATGGCAGAGGGGGAGCAGAGTACTGTAACCCACGCGTGACCGTCTCGGAGGGTGATAGTCACAACTGGAGACCTGGCGCTCAGCTCTGAACCCCATTTTTGTCAAGTTCAAGCACCCACATTTCTGTGTGTATTCCGTTTCAGAGCTTATCCGTACTTGTGCCATTTTTCAATCTGTCTTCCTATTCAAGAAAAAAAAAGCTTTCCTTCCTACTCTTGGTTCTGTATCCAGGATAACAGAAATCACGTATGATTAGTCCCGCAAGCTAATTGCCCAAGATAGCCTAATAAAAAGGGTGGGAAGAGTAGTGTTCATTATATATCCTTTAGTTCTATTATCTTATTTTGATTTCCCAAATTTCCTCTGACTTTTTAAAGTTTATGGGTATTGGTGTTACAAAATGAATAATTGTAATTGTGGCTTTTGAGGAATAATTTTTATTTGTTTATATATCTACATGCTGTATTAAGCAGACTTTTAAATGTTTAAAAAGAGAGATTTATGATTACAAGAAGAGAACTGTGATGATGTCCTCTAGTAGCTTTAATTGTCCTTCTCAGAATTACACAACAGCTAAAGTGTCATAATTATAGGATATGCTGAGTGCTGGTGTCTTTAAAAAATGTTGCCTTTTTTTGATTATGCTATTTTGAGTACTGAATAATTCATTGCCAAAACAAAAAAAAATCCTCAATAACAAAAATATGTTTTTAGTTAAGGACCACCTCATTTTTAAAGTCATACTATCCTCAGGCTTACAAAGCTAGCTTGTATAAATTTGTTTATCTACAAGATTTGCTATAGTGCCAATTTCAGTGTTTTTGCCACTTTGGTTCCACTTACTTTACAGATCAGTCATGATGCAAATCAGAGGCCAGAACATAAATAGTGTGCAGAAACAATCCGGCTCTTAGGGAGTCTTTTTCCATGTTGTAACCAATGCTCAATGATATTTATTCCAGCTGTCTATAATGCAGTGCTCGACTACTTAGTAATGTTTTCAAGTCTGAAGATGTAATGTTAGCGAAAAGTTTAGCTTTCATATTATTTGGAAATCTTTTAGAGTATTTGAAACTCAGAATTATTCAAACTAGGTTCCATGTTGTCATAAAAGAATACCCTGGACACAAGAGCAATAAACTAAGCAACTGCTAGAATCTCTGAGTCAACAATCTGCAGGTGGTTTCTCCATAGTGTGACTGTCCTACTGCAAATTTCTCATTCCAGGATTCCTTGCTAATAATTATATTCCCAAAAAGATTTCCCTTACTGTGAGTCTGTTTATCAGTTTGCAGATCTTGCATGTTGTATACTGCTTATGGTAGTCATAGTAATAGGTGTTTATAGACAATTCAGAGAGAAGGAAGATACAGACCTGACCTTCAGCTTGTGGGCATTCTTGAAAGGCTTTAAAGCAGGGGGAGCATTTCAGTAGTTACAATCAGTAAACTCCAGGTTGGAGAGGATGGTATACATTTGAAATATTGAAGAGAGAATGCATAGGAATTGGCAACTGCTCATCCATGAAACTGGGGCAGGGAGATAAAAGAGAAAAACAATGAATAAATAACATTAGATTGTGTGATTAGAAAATATAAATGTCTGAATGTGTTATGCAGAGAAAACAACTGAGAACAAAAGCCCACCTGTAAGGGAAAAGGGTGAGTAAAAGCCCGAAGAAAGAAATTCGTTAATATGGGGGAGGAGTGAGGAGAGGGATTATTTACTGGGGAGAATCAAATAGGGTTGAAGATAAAAGGGAAGGAACCAGAGGCAAGGTAGACATTGGTGTAGAAAATATAATGAATGGAAACAAGGAATGAAGTGCATATATGATGGAATTTGAGTTGGAAGAGAGATGTCAGTTCTTTGAAGGAAAAGACAAAAACATGAGACCGAAAAAAGTACAGAAAAATTCGGACATGGCCCACAGGAAAGGTAATGGGTGTCAGGTTTGTTGATCCTAATTTAGAGTAACCTGCTGGCTATGAGAAGAATGCAGTTTTTGTGATACACAAGGAGTTTGAGAAGCGATGAGGAGGCCACCTCATTGTCAATGAGCCCAGCTGATATCAAGAGGACAGACAGAGGTGTCCTGGGCAGGGCTGAGGCTGAGAAAAACACAGAAAGGCTAGTATGGTGTGAAAAAGCATGTCAACTCGAAATCCAGTAGAAATGGTATTGGATTTCATGCATTTCTGTTCTTTTTTTTTTTTTTTTTTTTGGTTTTTCTCCGGTACCGGGAACCGAACTCACGACCTTGCGCTTGCCAGGCAGGCGCTTTGGCTGCTGAGCTAAATCCCCAGCCCCTGCATTTCTGTTCTGTAAGGAAAAATGCCTAACAAAGTACTCTAATGTACATCTACCATGATTTAGCTAGGATGGGCCTAAATGCAGTAGCCGGCCCACTGCTCTCCACTGTAGAAATGATGGGGTCTGTAGGGCTGACTTCAAATGGGATATGGAGCTGTGACATAAACTAATTCCTCCTCCTTCCTTCTCTGTTCTTTATAAGTAATAATTTGAAATATCATTTGGAGAAATCATAAAGGGACTTTGTTCTGGATTAGATTTCATACAAATCAATCAGCATAATGAAAAAAGGGAATGTAGTTTTTCTTCTTTGCTGCTTTTGAGTGAGGGAATCTATATGAAAATCTTAGTTTTAGAGCAGTTGTAAAAAGAAGTTGAAGTCATAAAATTTAAATGGGAGATTCAGAAAGTCATGGGTAGGTGAAAGTGGTTGACAGTATGAGAATAAATGTTTATGAGCCAAGTTCTACATAGCTGTTGTAGTTGAATATTATGAGATTGGTTTGTGTAGATGGAGTATCTTGTGAGGTATCTTATGAGATGGGGTATATGTTTAATGAAAGAATTTTGTGTTGGAAAAATTCACAAGAACTGTAAGTTAGGGAAGGGCGAGTTCTAGAATTTCTGGGAATTTAGACTAGGACTAAGTTCCATGTGGCCTTCTTTTTCCTCACCTGTGAGAGCATAGGGCTGGACTCAGAAGTGTCTTTATATTGCAATGTTTTATGATTTTGTACTTACAAGTAGCAGGTTGGTCGAAGTGTTCCTGAAAGCATCACGTAGGCAGTTTGGCTATGCTTCCTGTGGTGAAATAAGCAAGGAGTCAGAGACCTATTTGCTAGCTTTGTTCTCTGAGCTGTCAGATGGTTGGCAGAACCGTGTCCCTTTCCTGTCCTGCACAGAAGATGCCATGCCGTAGTTCCTAGAACATGTGAGATGTCACTTGGAAAAAGGCAGTTTGCACATGGAGTTATATTACAAACTTCAAGATAATGGAGACTGTTCTGGATTAACCAGTTCCTAAAAGTGGAAAAGAAGGAAAGGAGGACAGTTCAGATATTTGAGGATGAAAATATAGGCAGAAGTGACTTGAAAGACCTGACCCACTGTTGATTTTGAAGACTGTGGAAGGTGCCCACAAGTCAAGGCACACTGGAAACCTAGATCAGTTGGCAATGGCCCTCAGGTGACAGCCAGCAAGGAAAAAAGGAACTTGGCCTTATGACTAAAAGGCACTACATCCTTTCAACAACTGAAATCAGCAAGGAGTTGGGAGTTTTTCCCCTACAGATATCAGAAAGGAATGTAGCTTTGGTAGCACCTTGCCATTAGCCTGGTGAGCCCTGTGCCAGACTTCTGTCTGACCTGGACAACTGTAGGATTTAACTTGTGTTGCTTTAATCTGCCAAATTCTCAGAAATTTTGTTATGGCACCAACAAAACACTTATACTTATTTTCTCCACTGATCAATGATAATAATGGCATACCTCTTTTTCTACAAGATTACTAGAGGATCAAAACAGATAATAGGTGACCAAAGTAGGATGGCTAGAAGGACCTCTAAAAATTCACTTCTCCATAGGAGCAATGAAAACACCGCCAGAATCGTCAAGAATGTTTTTTCAAAACAAAGTTAGGCAAAGGCTGGCAAGAATTCAAAAAGTATTCAAGAAAAAATTTTATGAGATGCACCTTGCTCATAAAATTGGGCTTTGTGGATTTTAACTTGTCCTATTTGTACCCGCCTCTTCTCAGCTTTGTATTTTTTTTTTTTATTTTTATTTTTTTTTTTTTTTTCTCCGGTACCGGGAATCGAACTTACGACCTTGCGCTTGCCAGGCAGGCACTTTGCCGCTAAGCTAAATCCCCAGCCCCTCTTCTCAGCTTTGTAGTAGCCTTGAGGGCAAACAAAATATATAACTCAAAATAAGTTAGAAGTGAACAAATACAGGAAGAAAGAATAGAAGACATATAAAAAACAAAAGTAAAATGACAAACATAAATTCTACCTTATCGGTTACACATAAAATGTAACAGATTAAACACTCCAATAAAAAGGCAGAAGTTGGATAAAAAGACACAATCTAACTATATGTTGTCTACTTACAAGAGACACTCTTCAGTTTCAAAGGCACAGGTTGGCAGTAAAAGGATAGCAAAAGATACACTATACAAATAGTAATGGAAAGAAATGGAGTGGCTCTATGGATAGCAGATGAAAGAGACTTTCAGACGAAATTGTTATTAGATACAAATAGAAAACACCTTATACTGATGAAAGGATCAACAACCAATAAAACAAATACTACAGTTATCTATATCTACATCTAACAACTGAATTCCAAAATACATAAAGAAAAAAGTAGCTAAATAGAAGAAAGAAGTAAACAATCTAAGAATATCAATGGTAGAAAACCAGAGACATGATCAGCAAGGCAACAAAAGACTTAACAACGTTATACTCACCTAGACCTAACACTATGGAACACCACCCAAAGTAGAAAATGCACATTTTTCTCTAGTGCATGCAAACCATTATATAGAACAGACCATATAGTAGGCCATAAAACAATCAATTTAAAAGGAATGAAATATAAGATAGACCTGGCCAGAATAAAACTAACTTAGAAATAAGATAATAGAATGAACTTTGGGAAATGTACAAATATGTGGAAGTCAAGGAATTCACTCCTAAATAATCAATGGATGAAAAAAATCACAAGGGAAATTAGAGAAAACAAAACATAATATAATGGATGGGGTGAAGATAAAGCAGGGCTTAGAGGGAAATTTATAGCCTCAAATGTCTTTAACAAAGAAGAAAAATCCTAAATCAATAACCTAGCTTTCTATCTTAAAAATAAATAACAAAGAATAAATTAAACCCAATGAAAGCATAAGAAAGAAAATGATAAAGAGTATGGGGAAATAAGTGAAATAAGATTAGGAAAAAAAAAAAACAAAAAACAGAGAGAACAACAAAACCAGAAACTAGTGCTCTAAAAAAATCAACAAAATTGATGAATAGTAAACATGACTGGCAAAGACAAAAAGAGAAGAGCCTCCAGTAACTAATCCTAAGAGCAAAAGAGAAGGTAACATTATAAACTTTCATAAATAAAAGGATTATAAAGGAATATTATGAATAATCCTATGACAACAAATAAGATAACCATGATGAAATAGGTTTGTGTACAACCAAGGTAATTGGGTGTATTTATATACTTGAGGACTGAAAATGTGCCCAACCTGTATAATAATGAGCATCGCAGCATTATTCATGGCCAAAACATAGAAACAACATAAATGTCCATCAGTTGGTGAATGGATAAACCAAATATGGTGTATCGATACAATGAAATTTTATTCAACTAAAAAAAGGAATGCAATGATGCTATATACAGTAACATGCATAAAACCATTATGTCAGTGAAAGAAACCAGATGCAATTGGCCACATGTGGCACAATTCTATTTATGTGAAAAAGGCAGAATAGGAAAATCCTCAGAACAGAGAGTAGTTAATAGTTACTAGGACTTAGAGAGGGAAAGGACTGTTACTAGCTTTCTTTTGGGGGTGATGAAGATATCCCGGGCTTAGCTGGTTGTGATATTTGTTTTCGTGGGCTGCCATAACATTACTACAAACATGGTGGCTTGCCCAGCGCAATTCTGTCCTCTCATAGTTCTGGAGGCCAGAAATCTGAAATCAAGATGTCAGTAGGGTTGTTTCTGTGGAGTCTGAGGAAGACTCCTAGCTTCTGACAGCTTCCAGCAATTCTTGTCATTCCTTGTTTTGTAGCCACTTATTTCAATCTTTGCCTTCATCTTTACATCACCTTTTCCTCTATGTTCCCCCCTTTTTTATAAGAACACTTATCAATAAGTGGGTGTGATGGTGCACACCTGTAAACCCAGCACTTGGGAAAGCTGAGGCAGAAAGATCACCATGATTTTGAAGCCAACCTGGGCTACACAGTGAGTTTAAAGCCAGCTTCATCTACATAGGGAAGCTCTGTCTCAACAAACAAACAAACAAACACCCCTCAAAACAATATTATCATTGGATTTACTGCTCAGTGTATAAGAATTTAATTGTGCTTCTCATTAAATTTCAATGAATATTTTTCAAAATGAAGTCACAGTCACAGGTTCTAATTAAGTGTATATTTTGAGATGCCACAATTTAACTCATGACAGAGTTGGGTAAGTTTTTGCACATTATGGCACTGAGGATTGAACCCAGGCCTCCTGCATACGAGGCAAGTACTCTACCCCTGAGCTATATCTCCAGCCCCCAGGTGTGAGAACATTAAAATCACTGAATTGTACCCTGGAAGATGATAAATTTTGGGGTATATAAATTACATTTGAATAGAAAGAGATAACGTGGGAAATGCTTTCACATATCTTTATAAGAATATAAAAATGATTAAAGATCAATTCAGGTAGAGTTTTAAAATTTAAAGATTATTATTATTATCATTTGTAGTGCTGGGAGTGAAGCCCAGGGCCATGTGCGTGCTAGGCGAGTGTTCTGTTCCTAAGCTACAGCCCCAGCCTGTTTTATTTTATCCTGAGACAAAGTATCAGCTAAGGATTGTTATTAACCTTTAATTCATGAAGTTCATAAGTGAAAATGTTAAACTCTTCAAGGAATACTTTGGAAAATATTTTCTTTTTTTTACTACTATATCTAACTATATTTGTTTTGAAATTTTTTTGATGAACATAAATGAGGTCAGTATGTCTCTAAAAGTAGTTATGGCTCTCATCCTCTATTTTGCTTAATTTTTTTGTGTACAAACTAAAAAACAAGGTGATTTTCAGGTTGCTGTGACGTCATGGTATATCTGAATGTTCTGGTACTTAATTTCCCATACTCTTTCTTATCAGTATAAGGGTATTCTCCATCATTTTTTAAATGTCACTTATCATGTGTGATTTAAGATGAAAGTAATTATTGACCAGAAAGAACAAAATAGAAGATCAGTACTCATGAATAGGTTTAGAAGTAATCCAGAGCATAAATGAATCAAATTTTAGCTTCTCTTTTTAGAACAAGCCCCAGAAAATTGAGGCTTTCTTCAAAATGAGACTTGGATCCTGATTACCTGTACATCCTTTCATTCTTTTTTTTTTCATACAATTTCAATCATCTTTTCTCTGAAGACACTGAAATAGAAGCTAGCTAGAGAGGAAATTTTAATGCTAATACAATACCTCAGTATTTGTTAGAATGCGACAAGCCACTTCTATATTTTGAGCAATTTGATTTTCTTCCCCTTACAAATAACAAAGGTGAGTTCTAATTTCTATGTAAGCAATGATCAAAAAACATCTGCTTGTCTTTTTGCTATGAATTCTAAGTTATTGGTCTATTTTGGACTTATCCATTGACAATATTATTTGGAGGCTTTATTTATAATAAATGAGTCATTTTCAGTTTATTTTTCATTGCAGATGAGATAAATTTATCCTAGTTTGCTAATTGCCCCTCTAGAACATTAGGTCTTTCTTACATCCCACTCTTTGTGCTACTAGATCCTATTACTAGCCTATTGTTATTTTTTGCTTATCATTTCAAACCTATATTTTCACCTGTCAGTCAAAGTACTGACAAGTATTTATTCAGTGTTTTCTCTCAGCATGAAGTTACTGGAGAGAAACAAAAATATGAGTTTTGAGAAACTTGCACTCTTCTTGATGAGTCTGTACTTATGACCATGGAAACAGAATTCTCTGAACTAGAGAGCATTCTGGAGAACACTTATTGGAAGATGACAAAAGTGAGTCTTGGAGAGGTTATGAAGGCCACAGTGTTAGTTAGTGGTCTTCCAGCACTAAAACTATGCTATGTCATGTTACATTATCATGTAATAGGCAAAAAAGACTTTATCACAGTATATAGTCAAATGCTAACATATATCAGTCCAGTAGAGGTGGTTAGGTACCACTCTCCAACCATCTAATTCCTCTTTCTTTTTTTTTTTTTCTGGTACCAGGAATTGAACTCACAACTTTGCGCTTGCCAGGCAGGCGCTGTGCCGCTGAGCTAAATCCCCAGCCATATAATTCAAAGATTTCTCTAAAATATTGCAATAATGAAGATCTTTAAAAGAGAATTTGTTATAAGATATTCACTGATGTACTATTCCAGTTGTGGTTGTTATTTATAGAAGTAAATGCCATTGGTAAGTTTTAGCAAAGCACTTAAAGTGGAGTGGTTTGGATGAAAGCCAGGTTGTTCACTTGTTAATATATTATTTATTAACGAAATCAAATGTTAGGCTAAGCATCAAGTCTCATCCCTCTTCCCCAATACCATGTGTTTACTAAGGCTGGTGCTCTCTTTGATAACTATTTGCCAAACATAAATTTCATGGCATGCACCATAATTTCTGAGACTTGATAACATTTCAAAATGCTAGTACAGAGGATTAACCAACTGAAGGACAGCTCACTCAATCAATTTTGCATCACTGACCACAAAGCTCTTCTCATTTAGAAAGATTCAAGACATGCAGAGGACATGGCTTACTGCTGTTTTATGCACCCCTTCACCTTTCCTCTGTTTGCCATAGATTACTCATTCTCTCCCAGGTGACTCTCAGCAGCTGTCAAATATTTAAGAAGCATATATTTCATAAAGACTTTATCTCATACTTCCCTACAATGCTTTATTCCCCCCCCCCAGCCTGAGTCATCACATACACTTGGTTATCCATTTCAGCATTTATCTATATCCAATTTATCCTTCCTTTTGTTGTCAGAGTGAGAATTTATGACACAGTAAACCGTAGCCATAGCTAACCATGACTCAGGTGGGCAGGGTGAGGTAGGAGGATAAAGACATGGTACCCAACAATCATTAATTGGACAATGCTTTTCTCTCCCTGAACCTTTTCTAACTACTCCTTTGGACTTTCAGATGAGTACCGAGTGCAGAATCTGGCCCTAGAGTAAGATTTCAATGCTACCTCCAACATTTAAGAGCTCCGCCATTGGGTAAGTCCCTCCATGTCTCAGTTTCCATACCTGAACAAAAAGCTGATGACACTTCTACCTTATAAGGGTGTTGTGAAGGGGGTAGAAGGCCACTGGCACAAAAATTCTGTTTATAAGGCTGGCTGTTTCATTTTGAAACCTTCTAATTATTAAAAAGTACATCTACATTAATTAAAAATTTTCCTTTCCTAAAGTATTTCCATTGCTTTTCTTTTAATTACAAAAGCTAATTTGCCACTAACATGAAAAGGATAATAATATTATTTTCCATTTATTGTTCACTTGCTATGCAAATTCATGTTTACATAAATTACAGATTCTTCACGACTTTTAAAATTGGCGGCATAATGCAAACTGGCTCATTGACATGAAAGCAAACATGGATGTGGTAGGAAGCATAGTGTGCAGTCATCCTTGGGTATGGTCTGCATAACTCAAGGTCTCAGTAGGAAGCAGATGGTCCACTCTGGGAACAGCTCAGTGATGGGACTGTGTGTAAAGGCGCGGGGAGGATGCAGGGAATCACCAGGAGAAGGTGAAGCACAGAAGGACTAGCAACAAGGGACAAGGGGAGGAACCTGTTGCCAAACCTCAGTGAGCTTCTAGTCTTGGGAGAAGGGATATCTCCCAGAAGCTGTGGTTTTAGATAAAGGAACATAGTTACTCTTAAACTGGCACAATAGGGAGAGATGGAAAGCATAAATATTCAGACTCCTTCCATTCTTTGATCTTCCATTTGCTGAACTTGCTTAGCAGCCAGAAGGCCCAGGAGGTCAATTACCTGGGCCACAGCACAGAGCAGTGTAGAGAATTCATCTGGAAGGTCACCCTGGGAAATACCAGTGTACAATCAGGAGAAAGGCCAGCTTAAGCCATACATAAATGTAGAAGGGCATAAGTGAACAATGGAATGTGGAGACCTCACTCTAGGCATGGACTCTTTCCAAAGCTTTGCTTTTGATTGTGTGGTGATAACTCAGAATGTATTTTGCCTACATGCAATTTTTTTTTATTTTAAAGAGAAAAAAATTTGAAAAAAAGATAATAGGAGGGTAACAGTGGTTAATATATTGTGTATTGTTATCTTTAGTTACTCTGAGTACAAGATAGTGGCATTTAATTGTGCAAACAATATTAGCACAAACCATTCTTTTCAATGAACTAAGAGTAACTAATAGTATAACTATCTTAACTTTCATATATATATATTTATTTATTTTTGATTGTCCCTTCCTTCTTTTCTCCATTTCCCATCTCAGTTTCTCTTTCCTTTTGAAGTTTCTTCCTATTTTACAATATCTATTGTACATTTTGGATCTTATTTACTCTTTCAGCTTCTTATACTAGGGAGACAATATGATGTTTACACGTGTGTGTCTGGTTTATTTCATTTATGACTATGGTGTCAAGTTGCATCCATTTACGTATAAAAGTCTCCAATTTATCCTTCTTTTTGGCTGAGTAGTATCCTATTGTATAAAAAGACCATATCTTAAAAAAAAAGACCACATCTTTTTTATCCATTCCTTAGTTGATGGGTTGTTTCCAAGATCTACCTATTACAAATTCTTCTGCTATAAACATAGGTGCACATATATCACTGTGGTACTATGTTTTTAATTCTTCTGGGAAGATACCC